TCTGAGGGTCCTACAGAGGAGAATGCTGTATGTGTAAATTGTCAGAACAACAGCGTAGGAGATCGGTGTGAGAGCTGCCTTAGCGGCTACTTCCTGCTGCAGGGGAAGTGTGAGAAGTGAGTAAAATCTGCTGCTGAGCTGTCACTGGAGTGTTATTATATAAAGTTATTATATCAAGTTTTAATGTGTGATTTTGATTACTCAGTACCTGGTCTGTCAGTTATAATCAGCAGACGTGTCTTTTACTATTAAGAGAAATGCTTATACATGCACAGTTGTAGCAAATGTTAATTTCTCCTCTTCATCACAGGTGTCAGTGTAATGGCCATGCAGACACATGCAATGAACACGATGGCACAGGCTGCCCCTGCCAAAACAACACAGAGACCTCCTCCTGCCTCAGCAGCCCCCAGAGTGATCGCAAAGATTGCTACAGACAACAGGTATGTGCATGCTGGAGTTCACAGTTTCTGCTTTTTACAGTTTTGACTTGTTGAAATCCACATTTTTCTTTCTTTTTTTTTTTTTTGTCAGTGAATGAAACATGCTTAAATTCTGTGTTCTACTCTTTCATTTAGTGTGCAAAGTGCAAGGATTCTTTCAATGGTACACCAGTGAATGGGCGTCAGTGCTACCGTCAGTTTAATGTGGACGCAGAGTGCTGCTTTGACCCCACATCGCAGACCAACTGCTTTCATGATCCCACCATTCGCAACCTGCCCAAGGGGCGCACTGTATTCTTTGCTGCCCAGCCAAAGTTCACCAATGTGGACATTCGGGTCACCATTGATGTCACTTTTGGTGAGGTGGAGGTGTACGTGTCCAACTCTCATGACACCTTCATTGTGGACGTAGATCGATACACAGGGATTCACACCATCAAGATCGAGGAGGAATCTGTAGTTCCAGGAAAAACTGCTGGGACAGAAAAGGATTCACCTCCGTCCCCTATAAAGGTGTTTGCCAACACCTCATCCAACTTTGCAGGTTCTGTGCTCTCCCAAAGCCTGCAAGCAAAACCTCCAGGAGTGGAAAGGGAAATTAGAGAGGAACGTGCTGAAGGACTCATCACCTATATCACCGTGTGGAAACCCCAGACGGTGCTGATTGTCCGTGGTGTTCGAGATCGCGTGGTGATCACCTTCCCCCATGAGGTGCACTCCTTGAAATCTAGTCGCTTTTACATCGCTCTGAGAGGTGTTGGAACTGAAGAGAGACAAGGAGAGTCCCAGGGCCTGCTGTTTCTGCGACAGGACCAAGCCCACATTGACCTTTTTGTCTTCTTCTCTGTCTTCTTCTCCTGCTTTTTCCTCTTCCTCTCTGTCTGCGTCCTCCTGTGGAAGGTTAAGCAGTTCCTGGACTTCCGTCGGGAGCAGCGTCGCCACATTCAGGAGATGACAAAGATGGCATCAAGGCCTTTTGCTAAGCTCACTATATACCTTGAGCCGGAGGAGCCTCAGCTCATCTACTTGCCTTCATCTGGTGGAGGGGTAGGGGGCAGCACTGTGTCGCTTGCTCATGCCCGCACAAGCAAGTTAAGTGGAGTGGTGGTTGGCCAGAGGGGCAGAGCAGGACCTGTCTCCTATAAACATGACCCATCCTCCGGACCCACAGCCCATCACCACCATCACCTCACCTTGGGTGGAGGAGGCAACAGCGGCCAGCATTTACCACTGCACTACTTGAACACCCATCATTATGCCAGTACCACAGCTGGCAACCCAGCCTCACATCATCACCACCCATCCACATACAGCGCTTACCAGCACTTTTGCCGTCCTGACCCTTTCCTCTCTCAGCTTATGGGATTTTCCTATTCCTCCTTCAAGGTGGGGCCCATTACCCTGGAGCCCACAGATGATGGTATGGCTGGAGTGGCTACAGTCCTCTTCCAGCTGCCGGGGGGTGTCTTGGCTCCAAACCGCGCCTGTCTGGGCTCCGCACTGGTTACTTTGCGACAGAACCTACAGGAATACTGTGGCCACGGCAATGGAGGCGGGCATCCAGGAGCGGGTGCGGGCCGCAAGGGGCTGCTGGGGCATCAGCACCTGACCACTATGGCTATGTAGAGAAACAAGTAACATTTTTATGAGAGATAGAATAAGTCTTTAAAGTGTTTGGTATATAATAATTTTGAAAGAAATAGCCACAAGGCAATGACAACATCCAAAAGTAAGAGCAACTTGAGCATTTTGAAGAGATGTACATATACTGTATAATGAATTTAAAGTGTCTTTTATTCTATTATGTGTTGCTATACTGTATTTCAGTGCTTCACATGACCAAGCCAGCTGTCTCTAGAATGCACTACAACTGCTATACGTATCAGCAAAATTCGTCACATCGTGTCTGTGATCACTAAAGAGGTATGAGTGCACTCGACAGATTATGCGACTGAAGACTGAAGCTGGACTCGTGTTAAAATTATTCTCATTGACCAACAAAGGTGTAAAACCATGTGCTTGCTTTGAACCAACATGTGCTTTATACCCCCCTCCCCCAAAAAGTGACAATCAGAATTGCCATTGAGAACAAAAGACTTGATTTCGGCATAATGTGCAACATTTTGATTGTCAGCGCAGGAAAAAAGTCTGAGTTACTTGTGAGATGGTTTTTATATCATAGTCGATATGAATGATTTATTAATTGTAGCTAAGTATATGCCAGGCTTCTAAGCTACACGTTTATGTTAAACAGACTCAGTATGTTTCCGCATATGCATTCACCTGCTCTGTTACGTTATACATCTTTTTGCTCGTCTGCCTTCACTTCTTGCCTTGTCTGTGTGTCAGATGGCTTACACTGAATACTTGTGTTAATGGAAATGTGTTTGGTGCAGCTCCTGGAAGATGTTAAAGTGACATTTAGAATTTTCTTTCATGAGTTGTTTTGAATTGAGAAGTTGTGATGGATAATGTTTTCAATATTGTTTTTGCACTCACAACACTACACTAACTTAACAGAACTCGTCCATTAAAATGAAGAAATTGTCCTTTTTATGATTATTTTTTGTTCACATTAAATGTGTGTCGGTGTTGAGATGGTTCATTAAGCTGCCTTTTTTTTATGGCAGCTTGCCTTCTTAGGTGATTGTATGCACCAATCAAACTATGGTCTAACTAAAAATAAATAAATACAGTATGAACAGTTACATTTCATTAACAGTGGAAAGTGTTACATTAGAAAGTTCTCCTGGTGAGAGGTTTGTAAAGGTTTTGCAGCATTATTTTAATTGATTTACATGTTCACTGGTTTGTGTTAACGGGAGTATTTTGATTTACTTTTTTGCACTGCACGGAGCCATGGGGCTTTAAAATTCATGTGAAACACAAGATCGGGGTGTCATCCATGCTCGGATGGCAAACATTGTCGTGGACGAACTCAGAATGGTGCTACTGGCGTTTTGTTTTTATTTTATTTTATTTTTTTTTCCCATTTTTTTTGGGTAGTTCAGCATAGTTCAGCAAAATAAAGCTCATATGAATACTGTCACTATTTATAGCAGCCATGCCCAAATGAGCATTAAAATTGTTGTGTCTTGTATCTCTGTAATTTTTTTTAACATGCTTTATTTTTGTACATAACTTTTATTGTGTTTGTATTTTCGTTTTCAAAGAAGGGAACAGTGTTGTACAGAGGATTGTGTGAGGAGTCTGTCTTGAGTCAGCTGAAATAAAGTCTGTGGAACATGATTATGTGCTTTTTTTTCCTGTTACAAGTAAAAATACTTCAATATTTAAAAGCTGTAAAATTCTGGTGTTTGTGGCTCCGACATTAATCTTGTCACATTGAGAACAAGAAACCTAGCAATGGCTTACAACTGAAGTTTTAGTAAAAATAAGCGTGCTGTAATGGTAACGTTTTAATGTTGAGGTAAAAGTAATTTACAGTGATTTTAAATTTTTAAATCTGACAGTTATGAGTTCAAAACTGCAAATGACTTGCCCAGAAGGTACTGCCTAATACATCGGTGTAACTTTGTGCTGAACATTGGGGGGGTCAAGATCTCTGTCTAAAGAAATAAGTAAATAAATCTGGGTAAATTCCTAGATGATTAAACATGCAACTAATTTGCTGTTAATACCTGAAATGAGTAAAGAAAACAGCGTATTTATGCAAGATAATTCATAATTTTATTAGGAGGGTTATATTGGTTCGGTCTTTTTATGGGGGGGGTCATAACCCCCCCCCCTGGAAATTACGCCCCTGGCCCAATACGATGTTTTGGAGGAGAGCTGGAAAACCCTACAACATATTTATACCTGGTACAGACTAATGTGCTTCTAATTGAGAAGCCTAAGTATTTCAAGTTCTTGCATACATTTTCTGATGCAACACATCAACAGTGATGCAATCTGGTTTCAGTGAGTGTTTTGGGTCGTTCAACATCATACACCCTCACCCAGGCCCTGACTGTCCAAGTAGCAATTGTCATCCATGGATTGGTCCGCTTGATCCATAAGCTGCTTGGCACCTTCTCTGCTGTATCTGTGGCGTTCTTGATTGCTCTATGGTTTTGGAGTCCTCTAGTGCCCAGACACTTCAGTGCCTGCAGAGACTGGCCTGCAAAGCCTCTGCATCTTTACCTCCCCTGGCCCTGCTTTGGCATTCAAGGCAACAGCAAATCAAATAACCACTTGCCATCAAGGATATGTATCTGACAAATCTACAGCAACTGTGTAATGCTCTCATGTCAATATGTAATGTTCCCAAAACTTTGTTGACTCTATACCATGAATAATTAGGACAAAGGAGGTTGTAACGCAGTATTATCAAGGTGAACTTAATGAATTGACCAGTGAGAATTTGTTAAAACTGAGGATATTTTTCTTTGTGTAGTTTTTTTTTAATTTTTTATCTTTCTTAACCCATCTACATCACGTATAGCATGACAGATAACATGATGCAGGATGGCGTGATTTGTTGTGATGCTTGTTTTTTTGTAGCTGTCACTTTAAAAGCGGGTTCAAGGTAAACAAGGCTGATGTGCTCTGGTTGGCCAGCACCAGAGGAAGTGTGCGGTGCTCTTCCTGTGTTTTTATCCATTTATATCTGATGCAGGCTGCCAGTAAATGGTCGCTTAAATGTGAAGAAGCTGCTGCGGCTTAAGCGCCCGATTTAACACTGTGAGTCTCTTCTTTGTGGCGGAATATAAGCGAAACGGTGACAGTTGCACAGCTGTAGGAAAGTAAACGGCGTTAGCCTATTGCTAGGCTAATGCTTCTTAGCTAATGTGAGCTAACAAAGATCAGATAACCAGAATCAGGGAATATTTAGATGACGCTTGCTTCTATTCCCTGTGTTTCTCGGACTGCCTTTTAAATCTAAGTGTCCATCGAGATATTCGACATAACGGTGTTTTCCTCTGCTCCACAGCACGCCACGACGAAACCCTAATGGTGATTACGTGAAGATGAAATCCACAAAAGGGGAGGCAAAGATAGAAGAGACACAAAGCGATGCGGTCACTATTAAAGCTGAGCATAAATTAGAGCAGGGGAGTGATGGCGAGGAAGGCTTCAGTGAAGTATACACTAATGGGCACGGCCTCCATATCCAGATAAAGGAGGAGCCACATTCGCAGGAGATCAGCGAGGAGCACAGTGAAGGCACAGAAGACTGTTTAGACACTAAGCCTGACACTATTACTGATGCTTATATTTCACAAGGACACATAAAGGAGGAGTTTGAGTCCTGCCATTCACCACATTATGAATTCACTGAAGCTGCTGTCAAGGAGGAGCCGGAGTCCTGGGTCAAAGAAGAGAGAGAGAGTGAAGAAGAGGTGGAGGATGCAAGCAGCGCCCAAGAGGGGTTTGAAGAGGGAGAGGAGGAGGCTTGCAGAGGTAGAGACCAACTTTAAGTCTGGGTGTTTTCTCTTTCTGCTTTTAGTTGTTATTCACCTTTTCCAAATTTTACAAATAGCCAGTTTTAGCTTGAAAAGTATGTATAAGAAACACATTAATGCAAGCTCTAGAGGTGTATCTGCATTTGCATTTTTTTAATCAGCTAAGGGTTAAATACATATGTTTTTAAAAAGTTAAGAAATAACAGGAGCACTGTTAGTGATCCTTAAGCTAGACACCCTCATTGAAGGGAATAGCAAGACAAGAAAATGGAAAGATTCTGACCAAAAATTACATTAAAACAATCCAGATCCAGGCACTGAATATATAGTTATGGTCAGAAGTTTACATAGCCTCACCATGGGCATGAATTTAGGGCTTTAAATTATTTATTTGAGCTGTTCTTTTTCAAGAGTGGAATTATTGTACAGCATACATCTTTAATAACTTTAAAAACAAAAATTGGGTGCAAATTCAGTGATACAGCTTAAATGTCTTTATTATAAATCAAGAGAGTTTCCTATTACTGTAACAGGAAAAGTCTAATCATACATTCTTACCTTTGCTTGATGTGACTCCTGTCTATTTTTTTCTCACTCCTATGTAGAGTCATCATCCGAGTTTTTTCCATGTCCGCACTGCACTGTCTCCTTTACTGACTTGGACTTCCTGGAGAAGCATGTTAAGTGGGTCCATCAGAAACAGTACCTTGCGAAACTCAACACATGCATCTCAAGCCGCACACTAAATCTCATCCCCAAATACAGCTGCGGTGCATGCAGCAGTACCTTTAACTCTAAAGTACACCTCAGGGTCCACGTACGTGAAGTCCACCCTTCTGCCCCTCCCCGCAGGCTTCACCCTTGCCCAACCTGTGCTCGCAGCTTCCAGTACCTGAAGAACCTAAAAAATCACTGTCAGCGCTGGCACAACATGTCTGTGGTTACTAGAGGAGGATATCTCAGTTGTGCTGATTGTGG